TTTAATATAAGAAACATGCTTTCATTTGCATGAGCTTGGAAGTGCATTAAAATAACAGTACTACATATACGTGACTAAACCTTTTACGTTTTAAGTGCGAAATTGACAAAAAATTCTTGGCTTTAATTCTGAACTCAGCAATTTTTGTTTCATGTATCTCTGCTTAAGCTACTATATTTAACGTTGCTGACTTTCATTATTCTATATATTATGCGTTGAATTGCGATTTTCAACAGAGTAAATTAATTAATCATTAATTAAATATTTAAAAAACATGTAAGCAATAAATACAAATATCGATGAAATAAATAAAGTGCTTTCATGAGAAGTAAACTAATCAGTAGTAATCAAAGGGATTTTTGCAAATGTAATTCTTTCTCACTGTCAACTGTTGAAGTCTGCAAAAAAAAAATTTCGGCAAGTGAGAATTTAAGTTTTTTTATTGCTTAAATTTATTGTCCTGCTATCCATATGTCAGTCTGACATGAATAGTATCGCAAAAGTTTACATCAGCAACTAAAGCTTAGCATTTGCAAATGATATTTTCATGCATTTTTATTATCTTGCTATAACTAGTTTTGTAAAATGACTTTTCAAAAACAGTCATTGTTACTACAGCATAAAATTGATCTCTTGATAATTATTGTTCTAAAAATAAAACAAAAAACTGCATAGTACTATTACTTACTTGTCGATCTTAGTCGACAATTCCTTGAGTAAAATTGATTTAAATAGATCATCATCATAATCACCTTCATTCTCATCATCTATGAGTAAAAAAGTTGAAATACAAATTCTTTCTCAACATAAATAAATATGAATGTGCTTAATCGGTAATATTTCAATATAGTTTGCAGTGTTTTTTATGTGTTTCCAATAAATTCCAGTATTTCCATCATGAAATGATTGAAATGTGAATGAGACAACAAAGGCAAAGTACGTTTGAGATGTGAGAAAGAAGGAAAATAGTAAATGTTTAGAATTAATCAAAACAAAGTATAGTAACAATGAATTGGTGGTAATGATGAGTTGATATAATAATACTGATTTTTGTAACTTGTAGAGAAATAAATAAATTAACTAATCAATTAATAATGACAACTTAGATCATTAAAATCATGATAGTTATGATAACAAAATCAGTGTATAAATTTATCACAACAGTTATAATGCTATTGAGTATTGAGGCATCAGTGATAGATTATGCAGTTTTAGTTCATAAATTTAATTCACTGTCGAACATAAATAACATCTTTGATATAAACCAAGAACATAAAATGAGGGTAGGTAGCAAAAGAGCAAGAAGACAAAAATTTTTCATTTTGCTTTTAGCCTCTGCAAGACTTAAAAGTTGAAATCAAACCACTTCTACCATTAGCTCTGCCTAGCCAAGTCTATCTTAGCCTCACCTCATACACCTTGCCTTGTCTTTTCTGAAATCATCTTAAATCTTCTCTATCATTGAGTCAATCGCTCTTTTTTTTTTTTAAATCAAATTTTGCTTCACAATTTCTAGCTATTTGAACAAGAAGAATTGTACAATTCCTCATTTCATATGCACTTATTTACAGCTAGCTTTACTTCATACTAACTTTCTCCCTTATTTAAGTTAAGAAAATGTGAATGTTATAGCCTGTGTTAATTTGTTATTGCTATCTAATTAATTCTCAGATGGTTAACATTCTGATATTCAATTCTCTACTAATATGTCCACAAGCTGTTTTTGACACATTTAAACGCCTTCAATCATTTACTTCTATTTCATTACTTTTTATTCATTCCTTAAAAAATTGTGCTAGCAATTCGCTATATGAATTTTTAAAATGTTTATATGTAGTAACAAGATTAAGTAATTGTTATTAGTTCTGACATATTCATCTGTAATTTTTTTTTGTTTTTTTTTTTTCGAGAAATCAAGAAATGATAATAGCAATATTAATTATTCAACGTTTATTAATTTTTCATTTCTATTTCAAAGTAAAAATTGTGTACTCATTAATTAGTTATCATCGAAAATTTATTGAAGAAATATGCACATTTCTATTTTTCATTAAGAATACTTATAAATATTTAATAACTGTGTTAATAAAATGAAACGTTAAACAAATTTTTCAAAACATTTAATGGGCATTTTAAGTTGTGATAGTAAGTAACACCTGTGCCCCACCATGTTTTCTCTTTACTCTTAGCAGCTTTTTCTCACACATTGCAATGCAGTGATTTTAGAATGTGTAGTAACGTTGAAATAATAGAGAATATAGTGATCAACCATCTAAAATTATTGAATCATTTGAGAAGTAAACGGATAGAGCGAAAAAAAAAATCACTTTCAGCATTTCATTTACCTCAGTGACTATTCATTTTAATATAATGAAAATTATAACATTGCAAACTTAATCTGTCTTACACATATACATTTATTTATTTATTTATTGATTCATTCACATGCATTTATTCTTTCATTCATTAATTCAGTAATTGTTTTTCTCTATTACTTATTCATTCATGCATTTATTTTCAATATTATTTGGAGAAAAATGCTTCTTTTTTCTCTTTATTAATCATCATTTCAATTTTATCGCAACTTACACTTCGTTATCATCCACTTTCTGTTTCTTGATTAATACTGTTCTAGAACATAAAATAACCATTTAATTGACTGCTTATTTGCTACTTATATTAATTAGTAATTATTCACTTCTCGCATGTCCTTTTTTCCCTCTTTATTAATAAATGAACTAAATAAGTGCAAAAAGACTAAATGAACAACAAACACGGACATTATTGTTGGTCGTTTACAGTGCTCGACTATTTGCTTAGCTAGCAAGTGTGAAAACAAGCAATGAAGCCTACAGCTGCTAAATATTTTACGTTTTTAATTTTTTCAAGTTTTCGTGATTATGATTATTATCATTCCAATTATTTCTTGAAAAGGTTTTGCAAGCGTGAAGCAAACACAGTTATTATTTTGTTGTTTCATGCGTTGTCTTTATTTCTTCCACCAATCACTTTTGTTTACCAATTCGTATTCGTATGTTATCTTCATTTGCAATGTATCAAAATTTTATTTAATCTGATTTTTCTTTTGCAAGTTTTGTGATTTTCCGATTCATATTTTTTTAAAAATTAGTGGAATTTTTTTTTTCGCAAATAACTGATTGCGATGAATGTTGAATTTTTAAAATTTGAGTTTACTGCTTTAATGAAAAAGAAAATTTTAATTTTTTGCTGCTTATTCATGCTAAATACTAATTGTTATTGCTTTGGATTATATTTTTATTCATACGTTGATTTTCACTGGAAGTGATTTACGTCTCTTATTTGCTGCAAAGTTAAACAATGATCTCAATGTTCCTTTTATTTTCTGCTTTTGCCACTTATAAAAAATTCTAGCGTTGTCTGCAGCTATCGACATTATTTTGTAGCTTAAAAACGAACTACAAATGACTGCTTTTTGTTTTCATATGAAGTATTCTCGAGAATTTTTAAAGCATAAACAATAAGCAAATAAGTATGAAAATCAGTGTGAATCTTTGCGCTGACAGATATCAATCAATATGGCTAATATATTGATTGTTTTAAATATGTAATAATGATTAATAGTTTAACATTTAACACTTTTGCTGTGAAGACATATATCGTCATTATTTTTTACTTTTTATTGCATTATATAAACACAACGAATGTCTACTGCTTCTTCCGACAGTACTTGAAAGCAAAAATTTTAAAGCATATAAAGGCTTTTGCTGCTGCCAAACACAGAACAGATGTGTTAATCTCGGTAGCAACATTTTTGCCTCATCAACAGTTATGTTTATTGACAGTTATGTTTGTTTCTACTGCTCCAACTACCCCAGTAATTGAGATGGTTGGAATAGTTGTGATTCATTTAGGTTTGTTGTTTTGCATCCTTGTCACTAATCATCATCATCACTCATATATGATCTTCCATTTACCTCATTGCAAGAAGCGTACAGCACAACGTTGCGAATGTTAAAATATATTGCAGTCGTTTTAAGTTTGGCGCAGAAAAAAAATGTATGAAAATTGATGTATTTTGAGAGCTTTTTTATTCACATTTTCATTTTTAGCGATATTTTTGTGATTTGTGGCAGACAGGTAGTTTTTAGAAAAGATTTGAATTGAAAAGAAAAACGTTGTTTCTGAAAAGTTTTTACATGCATTAATGCCTTTAGGCACAGCGTGTCTGCACGTATACTTATTTCCTTCTCATATCTTGCTGTTTACAGAACAATCATCATTATCATTTCCAAGAATAAATTTCATCAGTGTTGTGGCGTAGCAATTTTTATTTAAATCTATTGTTTTGTAATTGTCATTCTTTCGAAGTCTTTTATGACAAATTAATTAAATGATGTAACAGTTCGGATTTGAAATTTGAATGTGATGATAAAATTTCCGAAAATGATAAATCGCGCAATGAAAGCCTAATTGACTGACTGACTGAGTACCAGAAGTGCAATAATTTGAACGAGGAAAGAAGGAACAGAAGCGAATAAACTCTCGCACCGAAACGTGCAACTTCTAGAAGAGTTTATTTATTGGCAACAGGTTCCTTTTGAACGGCAGAAAAAACAGACTTTTGCTCATTCTTTGCTTCTTCTACTATTGCTCTTATTTTACTTCTTTTTCTTGTTGTTATTGTTGTTTTGTGGAAGTAATAATGCAGAATGTATGCTAGGCTATCCGCTAAATTAGTACTGTTTTTAGCACTATATCTAGACAGTTAGTTGTTACATGATCCCTCATTATTGGATTTATGAATTAAAAACTTATTCTGCAGCTTACGGTAATTTTGAGAAGACCCGTAAGCAGAAGATGAGAAGGAAAATGAAATTTTGATGTATGTTGTAACTCACACATTATTAGCACTGCATACTTATTGATTGACAACTGCAACTACCGAAATCAAACGTTTCGTGTGGTGAAGAATACTTACTTTGTGATCACTTGCATTTGTTCAATTTGCAAAGCAGATAATGGAGATGACACCAGAAGCGTGTTCAACTGATAAAGCATTCTATGATTCAGAAGTTTCACAATGCCAATCTAGCATACAACAGCAATATCCTCAATATCTGCAGCTACCACAACGGTGTTCTTTATCTACTGATTACCTTCAAGAGCACAACTTATCCAAGCAACCACCACCACCTTCTACGCCATCAAGTACGTTATCATCACCAAAGCTAACGTTTCGAGAATCACTACGGGAATCTCTGCGTGACATACATGTCCCGAAAATTTTATCAAATCTACGGAAATCAGCTTCTGAAATAAGCTTAGTATTCGAAGCAATGCGTTACGGGTCTTCTCCTATTCATATGCGAAAATACGGCATGCCATCATCATCAGGTTTCGATGATATCGCCAATGGTAGATATTCGAAATCAACAGGTGGCAATGATGGTACATCAACCTTTCAGAAACGTAAACGTAATGCAATTGTCACTTGGCATAATTATTCGCCGCATCATCTCAGCAAACAACTTCGATGTGGTAAATTATAATGCCATTTATTATAGTTTTAACTCTTTCAGTTATTTATGTTATAATAAACTCTAATTTACTGAAGTTTATTTCTACTCATACTTTGGCTGAATTTGTTCATTTTCATTGATAACCGTTTTGTCGGCTTGTTCTATGAACGCAAATACATTTTCTTATAATGTCATAACTTTGTGCTTTCTGCACCTGCAAACTACGTACAGCATTCACTATTCTACTAGCTATTCATCTATGGTTACAGGGATTAACTGTCGTCATGAAAAGTATTGTCTTATTAATTATAAAGTTTGCTCACATCATTTGAAAGGCTAAGTTAGCAACAATAATTATTTGTAGTAAAAGTATGATTACTAGCAAAAGTCACTTTATTAAAATTTAGTTATTCAGATAAGTTTTAAACATTTGATTTTTCTTTATTTTTTGTTGAAATTTAGAATTATCAAAAGTTATTAAGTATAACTTTGGTCAGTCTTATGCGTTTACAACACAGACGTATTTTTTACAGGCAGTTATCTGTCATTTTCTCCTCCTTCTCTTTTAGTTTTTTTCACTCGTCATGAGAACAATTTCTTTTGTATATTAGTTTAGTAATACTATTTTAAAAGTTATTATATTAGTTTGCACTTTTATTGTAGGAAATTTTTAAATACAGTCATTAAGTCTTTTTCTCATTTCTTTTCACATTTAGAAATGAAACTACGTACTTTGCATTATTTTTTTAAATATAGTTTTGCTCTTTCTCACGTCTTTAGACCAAATTTTGATTGAAAACTTGAACTTTTTTGTTGATAACTTAACAGCTGGTAAGACGGACAAAGAAAGAGAACTCCGTACGAAACTGTCTTTTTCGATTATATATATATAACATATACATTACATATATAATCGAAAAGGAATATAGAAAAAAGAGATCTTTATATTGAATCTTATGTATATATAATGGTGATGGCAAGAGAAACTGGTTTGAATTTTTGTAGAATGCGTGCGAAATCAGTTTATGAGCAAAATTATTATTTTTCCTCATATAATCGAATACTTACTTTTGAATGCTTTATTTAAACATAAACATGCTTTCAGTTCTTACTTATAAAATATGAAATGATAAAACTGAGTTATTGATTTAGCAAAAAAAATTGTGTATTAAGCGCAAAATGACTGTTTAGTAGTCAATAACTTAGTAGCACCAGTAACAATTATCATTGTAATTACTATTATTACGGAAGTTCCAAAAGAATTTCTAGCTTAATTGGTAGGTTCGAAGTATATAAAATCGATTAAAAAGTTGGCAGCTCGTGTGGAAATTACTTCATGTCTATTATATAATATGAAAATTAACAGTTACTTTAACCAAATCTGAACGATCAGTAAGTGATAGCAAGCCGTTTATTGATCAAGCTGAAGAAGTCTATGAAATACACTAGGCAAGAGTAATTACGTTGTACTAACTAGCTATCGATAAGATCAAGGAAACATTGGTATCTTATGTTACTTTTATATTACTGGTGATACTTCTGCTCATTAAGACGATCATTTATATGAAATTATCAGCAGTTTATTCACTTGTTAAGTGATGATTGATGATTTATTTCTTGTGAAGAGTCTGGTCTTGAATTAGATAAATATATATTCTGCAAAAAGGCTGATATAGTTCAGAAATGGTAATGTGCTTATTTGTGAGACAAATGAATAAATGAGTAGTATTGTCTGTGATCGAAACTATCGTTGTCTTCTTTATTTTTATCACTTCTTTGCATATCCTTTACTTATCAAATTATATTACTGATATGAAACAAAAAATTCACTTGTGATAGTTTTCATGTCTTTCAGATTCAGTAGTAATAGCTCATAAAAATTTACACAGAATTTTTAAGTGAGATAAATATTTTCACAGCTCACTTCAGTTGAATATATATTTTATCATCAAATTGACTGGAATTCGAATTTAAGAATTTTAACGATCACTGAGAGCAACATTATGTACCTGAAACTATTTATATGAATAGATAAATGTTATTTCTTGATTAATTTATTAATTCATAAAAGTTGAGTCAAGTCGGTGCTCAAAACACTTTGTAGTGTAAGCAGCTAGTTTTTTATTTCAGTTCTATGCATGTTAACATAGATTTTAGTAGTGGGAAGTATGTGATGATAATCAAAGGTAGATAGACTCACTCTCGTCACTAATAGTTGATTGTTTAATCCGTTAAAAAAGTTGACCTTGAGTAATGAGGCAGGCATAGAGTTTTGCTTCAGCTGAATCTAGTTTTTAGAAGTCATGATTCCTGGTATTATAGTCCTAAGAAGTATTATCGATTTTTACCATCGATATTTTCGATAGACGTTTAATATCGTAGTAGTTGAGTCTAAATTATTCATGATTTTTTTTTGTTTTTTTTTTGGCATTTGCATATTTTTGCATAATTTTCAAGCATGAGAAACGATTATTTGTACTGCGTCAAAAAAAAATCAATTTTCGATTTGGACAGAAGTCGATACATCGCAGTAATAATCCTTCATTCAAATGCTAGATGAGACAAATTGTCGTCTGACGTTAGTAAAACAGTTGTATAGAAATCGCGAAAGTAAATATATATTACTACTTTTTAAAAGTTTGCATTATTTTTAATTAATCTGAAAAGGTGAATTATATTCATTTTCAACATGCCAGTATAAATTTGCATCACTTCGTGCAACAAACATCTTTTCTGTTTTGATTTTCATTTAAGCTCGATTGAAAGTGAATTATTGTTACTGATATTTATGTAGTATTGATGACAAGTCATTATTATCTCGTATTTGCTTTTAATTTATCATTAACTTATCTGTAATAATTGTCATAAAATCATCTTTACACCCTAAAATCATGATTACAAGTATTTTGCTTACGCAGGAATCATTTTATTCTTGGAAATGAAAATTTTTATAATACTTTCAATGTGTACCATACTCATTGGCATTACAAAAAGATGTCCGAAACATTAGCAGATAATACCATTAAGATACGATTCCTAATAATAATCCTTCATTACAAGAGTGATAAACAGTGGTAAACAATCTCTTTCATTCGTAAAACTATCAAGCGACAGTGTTACAAAATTAATTTTAGCAAACACAGTTAATATTATTTGTATCTCAAACAAGGCATTCTGTATGGAATAGAATTGTGATGACTTTAGAAACAGTTGTACTTTCAAGAAGAATGTGTTCTGAGTCTGTAAAATTCCACTAAGACATCGTGAAAGATTTGAGTCTAAATAATGATAAGATACGTTCGTTTTATTTCGCATCTTCTTGACTTAATAATTGTGGAAGAAAGTTTTTGAACAAATCACTGTGAACTTGCTGAAGCTTTCCCCTTTGTCTGTTACTACTTAGACTGATTATTTTTCATATAGCAAGAAATACTCTTTGTCTCTCGAGCCTTAAAAAATAATCTGAAAAACATTTTAGATTTACATTCATAAAGTGAAAGTTGGTATGTGCACATCACCCAAATGCAAGCAAAAACTTTTACATTTTGAAACAAATTTTCAAGTTTTTACGTTGCAGAGCCAGCCATTTGCTCTGTATTGTTATCCATTATAAAAGATTTTATTGATCTGGAATTTTGATGATCTCCAAGTATAAATTAAATATTTTTCAGCTGGAATTAAGACTAACATGAAATATTGAAATTCAGTTTCCATTCTTTTCTTGTGATTTTAGTTCAATTATATAAAGTTTGTAAGTTGTACTTGTAACTTTATCATCTGTTTGGTACCATTCAGTGATCTAGAATGAATAGAAAATTATTTCATTACAAGTTGTGAGTTTTCTGAACATTTCATTTTTCATGTTTATATAAAATTGAAATGCATAATTTAGCATGAAATGCATTTGCTACATTGTAGCTTTTTCAAATTTGATTATAAGGCTTGCAAATTTTCATACTCACATTTAACAAACATTACTTGTGAAAAATTGGCCTTTCCAAAAAAATGATGAATTCTAAATTAATTATGGCGCTCATTTCTAAAGTTACAATACTGTGAAGTGAAATACTAAATCTTGAAGTAAAATTTGGGATAAAATTTTACATGAAACCAAATAATATTTTGGCAAACTTATTTAAATTTTTTCAAGTGTTGACTGAAAGAAAAAAAGATGTTAATGAATAATCTGACCTTGTGGATCTCTTTAGAATTTATGTATTTACTTGAATTGATATGCTCACAAAATATGTTTGTTATTTCCGATATAGGAAATTATTACTAGGTAAAGACTACTGACTTTATTGCATTAAATTTTTCTTCCTTTTTTTTCGAATGTACGGTCTGACACAATTATATTCAGTTTTTTATATTATGCGTTAAAATTTTTAAATTTTTACTTATTCAAGTATATGGTATAGAGGTTGGAAAACTCACAGATTAGTTTTTCTTTCAGATCAATATAGGTAAAAAAATGATCAATACTTCAATGTTTAATCTAATCAAGAATATTTGAAGATATTTTTTGTTTAATTCTGAAAGTGACTGATTTAAATTTGTTTATATTCAAGCTAGAATCAAGCATTAAAAACTCTGATTTAAAATCATTTGATTTTAGTGCAAGAGGAAAAAGCTATGCAGGCAGCGCCATCAACACCAATTGATGCATCTAAATTCGTTGCATATGTTACCGAACGGCGGAAAAAAAGGATTTTATTCAAGGGCGAATATATTGTATGTATATTATCTGAATTTTTTTTTTGAATATTTGATGAAATGGGTGTAAACTGATTAAAAATGTGCAATGTCTCATGTTATTGCAATATTTGTACTAACTAGTGAATGAGACTGAAACTGCTTTTGGGAATAAAGCTGTAGCAAAGTTTGATTTCGTGTGCTACGAATAGTTGAATGTATAACTAACTGCTCGCAGAAAGTTGTGAGAGATTTTAGAAAATTGTGAAGTTTTAGATGATATTACGTTCGGTTGATACGGCTAAATGCCGCTCTGATATTGGCCAAGCGATGAATGTACGTAATCAATTTCCCGATACACTACCTTATGATTATAATCGTGTAATATTACGCAAATTACGTGGTGATGAAGATTCGCATTATGTTAATGCCAGCTATGTTAATGTTAGTTCAGTTTCATTTCAAGGATTTATTACTTTTTGTATCTAATTTGTTCTATGCATTTAAAATGTTACAAATTTTGAAAATAAAAGCACAGATTTCGCACAATCTATAGGGCCTTTTGCTTTTCTCTAAAAAAAGTAATCTCTGCATTTACTTTTATGTTTTTATCTAAATAACTTTTCATACGCAACTTCGAGATTTTATATCATTTTAATCTGTCTGTATTAGTATATTCTGAATAGCTTCCATGTTGTGGTTTTTTTTTTTTTTTTTT